TCCATATTAGATTTAGATTCTATAATATTTGGTTTCTCCTTCATATCCAGTGTGCCTAGGGCTGTTCTGCTGTATTAATTTGCTTGATATTTAGGTTATCAAAGGCACAAAAAATTTTAACTTATGCTGATATTTAGCGTTTAGGTCATTTTCAACTGTCTTTCTTTTTTTACCTTCTGTCCATTGCAATCTAGTTAGAACTCCGATGACTTTAAGATGCGTATGTTTGCTGACCTGCTATGAGTAAATACAGGAAGTGATGCAATTCTTCTTGGTGCGGAGACCTTACGTGGGAATTACCCTGTTGAGACTATTTCTACTGTTGGCCGAATTTGTGCAGAGGTAAATCCAATTCTCTACTCAATTTTTTTCATATACTTAAGATTCTGATGGGATTAATTTAGATTTAATCGGACATTCCTGAAAGTTTTTCTCATTAAATGTTGAGCTATGAATTTGGTTCCTGATGATTTGGTATCGGTCAATGTTGTGGTTTTGTGATTTTTTTTTTTTTTTTGTTGAGCAAATTTTTGGTTGTGTGCGCGTCTTCTAGTTTGTTCATGATAGATGTCTTAGCTGTTGTAGTGTGGCCATTCATAGTCATCACTGAATGTTTTCCTGTTAAGCTCAGATATTGTTTTTTCTGACAACCGATGTGAATCTCTTTTTATTTCTATATGCCAATCTGATTATTAAGCCATAGTATTGGAACTTCTTGGGAATCTTCACTGTGATGCAAATATAGCATGGGATGTAGTTGAACTGGGAGCCACTACTCTGTTTTAGAAATCGAGAATCAAAATATACATTGATAAGATGTTGGTTCTAAGAATTTTGGCCCTTGTACCTACATTGGTTGAGTTCTCCTTTTACCTTGGACGTGGATTTCTGTTTTACCTTTTATGCCACCCGCCCACCCCCCAAAAAATATATATATTTGTGAGGAACTCTTTAGACTAATGTGCCTCTCTACATGTGATTTAACATCATTTATTGTTTTTTCTCCTGTAGGCTGAGAAAGTTTTCAACCAAGACCTCTATTTTAAGAAGACAGTTAAATATACTGGAGAACCAATGACCCACTTGGAATCTATCGCATCCTCTGCGGTATTTAGGCTTTAATGTTGCATCACAATAGCAGATTCTGGCACTCTCTCTTCTTGGTATTACTTTGTATCCGTGTCATTAACAGAGGGAAGCCTCTTGTATTTATGATTTTTTTTAGGTACGGGCAGCTATTAAGGTGAGGGCTTCTGTTATTATTTGCTTCACTTCAACTGGAAGGGCTGCGAGGTACCTCGTCTATGAATAGCAAAAATGTTTAAATATTTGAATTCATGGAAATTTGAAATAGCCAACTTTTCTTAAATTAAGTTAAATTCAGGAATTTCATACAGTGGCTTATGTTGGTGTCCATGAGCAAGTCTTATTTTAGTCCCCTGCATTTCTCACCTAATCTTGAAGGGTTTCTTTCTGAACGTGTAACATTTCCTCATCAGATTAATAGCAAAGTACAGGCCTCCCATGCCTGTTCTCTCTGTTGTGATTCCTCAGATTAAGACAAATCAGATAAAGTGGAGCTTTACTGGAGCCTTTGAGGTTGGATCTTGATTTTTTTTTTTTTTTAATTCACCTATAGCTTGATTTCTGTTCGCTGTCTATATATGTGGCTGAACCCCGCTCCCCCAACCCATTTTAATGGTTGGAATTTGCTGATTTTCAAGCTTAAATATGGCCAGAGAATTTCTGATAATTATTGTATTCTGTTTAAATTTATGTTTGGACTTTCATCGAATATAGGACTATTCTTCCGGAAATATTGACAGCTGATAAAGGCTATCAAAAGTTTACTTAAGAAACATTTTAGTGCTCTATATTGTTAAATAAGGACTATTTAATCTTTTTCCTTTTCCCTTTTCATTGTCCAGGAACAACTGCCAACTGATATGTGGGAAAGCTTATTTCCATCTAATGTAATTAGTATACTACTCTTTACTAAATATTGCATATATGGAATCATTAGAATACATTATTGCAGCTTAATTTTGCTGTCACATATTCTCAGCCTGTAGCATTTTACTTATCCTTTATACTCCATAGGGCACATGCAGTCGTTATTTATGTTGTGCTTTGGAATATGATGCTTCATTAGCTTGGTTGTGGTTGCACTCATAATCAACAAGAAGTATAATTTGCTTACATTTGTGTGGGAACATCTCCAAATTTGTAAGAATTTCTATTTTTATGGTGCAGGCAAGACAGTCGCTTATAGTGAGAGCTCTCTTTCCCTTGCTTGCTGATCCACGACACCCTGTAAGTTGCTGTTTTCGTGGAAGCTTTTTTCTCATCTGTTTTTCTAGTTGTCCGCTTCTAGTTTATCTTACTGTGGAGAGGCATTAGTCTTTGAATCTAACATGAAGGCACAGAGATGCTCGACTGAGAGAGCTGCTTGCATACTAACAGTTCTGCTTCAATACATTCTCAGAAGTTTAGAATATCACGGTTTTGATCTATGAAACTTTGATTATGATCGCCATTGATTAGCTTTTCTCATGATTCAATCTTATGGCTACGTTTTCCGAACATAACCTTCATTCTGGAGATCTGTATGCATAGTGATAAAAAGATCACTTTACTATAGCATTGCCCTTTGGTATATTACTGTTTATACCACAGTTGTAAGCACGGACGAACAACGAGGAAGGAGTGGGACCCACTTGATGAGCATGTCTCTGTCTTTTTCACAAGTTCCATGGCATGCATAATGACTAGATATCGTGCTTTGTGCATGCAGGCGGAGTCAACAGGAGCATCGAATGAGTCCATTCTGAAGGTTGCCCTTGATCATGGAAAAGCGTCAGGGGTTATAAAGGCACACGATCGGGTTGTTGTTTGCCAGAAAGTCGGTGACACATCCGTCGTTAAGATTATTGAGCTTGAAGATTAAAACACATTCGCCCAACACCACAGTTTTAGGCTTCTCCTTTTTGGTCATTCCCAAAGTATTTGAAAGCAGCGATTATTCTGCTTCCATTTGAGGTTTTCTGGTATCCCTCCACTGGGTTTGGTGGCTAGTTGTTTTTCTCCGCGTGTATTAGAAATTAACGCTAAGGAGGCAACCATCACTCAAATAGAAAAATCAGAGGAATGTGAGCTTGTTGCCTATTCTTAGTTGATTATTATACAACAAATTTCGGAATTAAAATTATTCGGTATGATTTTGGCTAACGAAGTAACGATGATCAAAGATTATTGTTCAATGGCTTCTATTCTTTTAGCTTAATGTGGCGGATCTTACTTTATTTTATTTTTCAAAAAGAATGATTACGCAATGGGAAAGAATAGATGCAATGCATAGCAATCCTCCAATCACTTAAAATAATATTCTTCTAGTCCTTAATATAAGACTCATTTAACTAATTTGATTAAATTAAGGAAGTTAGGTAAGTTAGTTAATTATAAGAAAAGTGACACATTTTTTCTAAAACACCATAATCATCTTTTTTAATACCATTTTTCTCTCTTCTATTTGATTATGGTTGAGAGAGTATCCATAAGGGTAATTTAGAGAAAATTGATAAATATAAGAAATGAGTCTTATATTCAGGATCAAAATTAACTCAAGAATTGGGTCCTATATTAAAGACCGGAGGAGTACTTTCATATAAATTAAGAAAGTTTTTTTTTTTTACATATTTATCTTATGCATAGTAAAATTGTTTTTTCAAAAAAAAAAAATCATACGCCCCGAGAGGAAAAGTGCAATACTTGATTTATACAATTAAGTTGGAAACAACTACGCATATAGGACCGGAGGAGTGACCCATACAGCAATGTGTGTGTGTGTGTGTTAATGATGCCATTATAAAAAAAGATAGAATTACCTGTGGGATAAGTTATGACGTGTGGCCATGTGATAGCCACACAATTGTCGTCTGCAATTTAAAAAGGCAACCTTGGAAAAACGATGGGACGTGCAAGTGCTAACTAGTAAAACTACAACTGTTTGAGTTTTCGTAACTATTTGGGAAAACAGGGGCTGGTTTGCTATTCAAGTTGAAACTTTAAAAGGAACTGGTATCGAAGCCAGAATTGCTGGTTAAGTTCGAAGCACCACATTAATATCATTATCTGGTATCTCCCCGGCAAGCTGCGCGCTAACCTCTTCATACAAAGATAATATTGTCATGTGATTGCAACTTGCGAATTCCAACTTGCCAATTTGGATCCCCCTAAAACGAAGACAGACGACAATGATTGTTATCTCTGAGATTTTTCATGGTAACGTTGGCTGAATCAAATGAGGGAACGTGAAATCTTACTTTTTACTAATCGAGTTTTAAATATAAGACTTAATTAATTTTAAAAAAATTTTAAAAATTGATTAAATTAGTTATTTGTAATAATATTTTTTTAAAATACTTCTCTTTTAATGAAGATATTATATGTGAGAAAAGTGGGGGGAAAAACTGTGAAATTACTGATGATAATATGAAGAAAAATATTAAATGAAACAGATAAAGTGCATCAAGGCTCGTAATCAAAATATATATCCATAAACCAAGTCATGCGTTTAAAAATAGGAGGGGGTAACACGTTTTATGAACGACTTCGTTGACTCAGGCGATAATTGCATGACCAGCCCTGGGATAACATAACAAGGGAAAAAGCCACTTCAAACAAGGTGAGGCATGTAAGTGAACAAGCTCATACATATCTAAAGATTATTTCTTTTTTGCCAAATAATTAAAGTCAACTAAAGACCCTAAAAAGAGAAGGAAGAAATGACTTAACGAATTTTAACTCTTAATGAACCTGCAACTAACAACCTGCACATCGAGCTGTCTGTAGTTTAATTCCATTCATATTGACTTAATTAAAATGCATGGACGCATAGAAGTATTGATGTGCGACAATATCACACAGTATTGGCGACATCTTCCAAAAACATATCCATAGTTGAGCACGCTGGCGCATGATATGATCATAATGAAACGAGATGAGGAGATTTCAACCGTTACCGAACTGGATAATCGTCAAGAACTCATACTTCAAAACTATGGGAGCTGCATATATACAAGGATTTACGATTAAGATTATTAATAACTAATGTTATCACATCTACAATTCGGCTATGCTAGTTGGAAGAATGTTGCTGCTGGTGAACACCCAGGAGTTCAATCTCTCTCTGGTGAAACATCAAAAGCATTCTTTCAGTTTCCAGCTTCCTCCTCTCGTTTTCAAGCTTAGCTCTCTCCATCTCTCTCTCCTTCTTGCTGCTGAACCTCGCCCACTTCAGCCTCTGCTTTTCCAGATCGAACGCCCTCATCTTGTGCCTCACTTGCTGCTCCTCCAATTGTATCAGCCTCGTCTTCATCCACTGCTTCTTCTCCCACGCGCTCCTCCCTCCATCCTGCAACACCCCTGTCACCTCCCCGCTCAGTTGCTGCATCGCCTGCGACGCCGCCTTCCTCTTCCTCTTCCGGCTTGATCTTCCGGTCCCTTCGTTCATCTCGTCCTCCTCCTCTTGTTCATGCCCGTTTTGGCCTTCCACCGACTCGTCTTCTTCCTCCTCCGAATATGCATCCGACTCTGAGTCCGAGTCGAAGTCGGACTCGTCTTCCACGCTTCCCCCCCTCAGTCCACTTTCTGTCGCGTGAGAACATTGTTGCCTGAGAGGTGCCGCCGCCGTCGCAGGATGGTGATCTGTACCGACCTCTGGCGACGGTTGGGCTGCAGAGGGCCCATTAGCGACGCCGTGACCACAACTGTTATGGTAAGCACACATTTCCCTGAAGAAAAGATGCTTTGAGTTAAGCAATTTTCGCGCTTCTTCTTTCATCTTGGGGGACAAATCCATAGTTTCTAGCAGGCTCTGGTTTTCCACCACTCTGCAAGCCGTTCCTCTGCCCAGAATATCATTCACCCTCTTGTACCTCTTGTTCAGGTCGTTGAACTTGTCCTCACATTGCTGAGGGGACACGTAGAACCCTTTCTCCATCATAGCCCTCGACACCGATTTCCATTTCCCCTTCTTCTGCAACAACCCCGCCGGCTTCTTCTTGCCGGAAGGATCAGTCCCTTCGGAAACAGCTTCGTCGCCAATGTAATAAACCGCCATGATCAACAGCCTAACCATAGTGTCTGTCCACTTCATTCTCTGCCAGGGTGATATATTCTTGCTCTTGGGGTCGCCCGAGCTGTCATCGGCAGCGAACCCAGGCTCTTCTTCGTCGCTGAGGGCCGTCTGTTGCTTGCTCTTGGTGGAATAAGGGTAGGCATGTGTGGTGTGTGGATGGGGATCGAGATCGTGGTGGGGAGCGTAGGAAACCACTTGAGGATTACTGTGAAGATGGTGAGGGTTTGGAGGATTCGAGAGGTTTTGTTGCTGTTGCTGTGAAGAGTTGTCCACTCCTAACATTCCAGAGCTCATGCCAGGGAAAATTCCGCCACCGAGTCCATTGGTTTCCATCAGAATTCTAACAGCTGAAAAGAAAAACGGAGAGGCAAAAATCAAATTCAAAGAAGGAGCTTGTCAAGGACGTGCAGTAAAATCGAGAGGGTAGGCATGAGGGTTGAGAGAGAATACAAGGGCGGAACGTTGAGGATAGAAATGGAGGAAAGGAAGAGAGCATGCAAGTCAAAGGAAGAGAGAAGCAAAAATGGATTGGGAAAAAGAGGATAACACGAAAGCGGGGGCAAGAATGAGTATATACAGAGATGGAGGCTACTGGTTTTGAGTAGGTAGGATTACCAAAAAACGGGCCCATGGTTTCTCTCTCTCTCTCTCTCTCCCCCCCTATCTGCTTTATCTTCGTAAGCCTAATATCAATAATCCACAGGTTTCATGCAAAACTGCGGAGGCGTGAATAGTATCGCCAACCAAGAAGGGCCCATTGATTAAAAAATAAAAATAAAAATCCCAGCATTTTTTTTTTTTGAAAAAAAATTCTATTCTATGTGCCTCCCTCTCCAAATTAAGCGACTCGATTCCAGTCTAACAACAAAATTCAAATTTGTCGTCTTCTAATACGTAACATGCATTAACCCAACCATCCGCCTTTGCTTAATGCGATTTCTACTCTATATGTTCATTTCTTATTATTCGCATATTTAATTTATTTCAAAACTGGTCTATTTATGTCTTCCCTTCCCTTTACGTGAAGGTTGTGTGTAAATTCTCACATCCCCCCAATATACTTTGACCCCTACCGATGCCAATGGTTATTTGAGATATTTTTAATCTAACGGTTAAATCGTACTAATAAAAAAAATCATGACTTCAAATATCACATTATCAACGCTTCACAATCTCTGGAATTACATGTTTTTATTTTTAAAAAAATCGAGTTGATTGCATTGTGCATAAACATAAAAACCTTTTTAGATGGGATATGTGCGTGCAGATTATTATATCTGTAAAAAATGTATGTGGATTCTCCATTCAGCGGCTGGCAATTAAAGAACTAGGGTCTTCCAAAAACATGTTTCTTACCGGCCTTCCTGGTCTTTGACCAAAAGAATTACACCGTTTAAATTTACAAAAACTATTCGCACATAATATAAAAAATTTAGCAAGTTGCACCTGAACCACGAACAATATAATTCCTTAAAATGAAAATATGTTCTGATTTGCATTCGCGACTTCAACGTGGGAAGGAGAGAAAAGAAGTCACATACGATTAATCAGGCAATAAATGACTTACATTAAAATCAAGGAAGGTGCCACTTGTAGACAAAAACATGAAATTCATCTTAATTAGTCCTTCTCTGTTCGGAGTCCAGTTCAGATCCCGCAGTTAATTCAAAAATACGTATATAGTACTATAGCATATATGCATTGAGAAAACTGGAAAGGAATTAATGTCTTAAGAGTGGTTATAAGACTTGAGAGGCGTCTGCATATCAAATATAGCAAGGAAACACCTGTGCGTATGATCCTTTATTGTTCTGTTCCTTTCACTGATACTCTCGGTTGAGTCAAAACTGGACGGAATTGATGAGACTGAGAATGACAAGTAGGCCACATGCGTCTTCTAATTTTCAGTTCCTATTAAAGCCACTTGCTTCGCGTCCTTCCCTTCCTGGCTCCTGTCATAGCCCACTCGCCGTGTCCATTCTATCTAATCTATCTGTGCTCTGTGCAATGTTTCGATCTCGAAACCTATATTCATTAATAATTAATAAATAAAACTAATTTATGATAGCCAAAAAAAGTACTATTTATTTATTACTCTTCCGGTTTTTAGTATATGACTTAATTACTGAATTGATTTTAATTTTAAATATGAGACATATTTTTCATATTTATCAATTTTTTTTAAAAATTACCCATATGGATATTTTCTCAATCATAATTAAATAAAAGAGGAAGGGAGGATATTAAGAAAAATGATTATGGTGTTTTAGAAAAAACATGTCATTTTTTTATAATTAACTAACTTACCTAATTTTTTTAATTTAATCAAATTAGTTGAATAATATTGAGGACCGAAAAAGTATCATTATTATGATGTAAAAACAGGCATCACTTTCCCTCGTACTTTAGTACTAAATATGAGAGATGAAGAGAATAATTAAAAAATGTGAAATTAATAAGGATAGCATGAAGAAAAAAATATTTAAGATGAGATCATATCCATCAACTAAATTCAATATTTAAGATCAAAATAAATAAATGAACTTCTAGTTTTACCTCGCCTGCCGCTCATATTGAATCAAGAATCCTCTTCAAAGATGACAATATCTTATCTTCCGTCATGCTTTAAAATACCGTCTGCCACATAATTGCTTAGAAAAAGAAAGTCTAATCTCTATCTACTCCCGCTTCGCTCTGATGGTTTTCTTCAATTATTTGCTTATCGGAGGAAAAGAAGGAAGGCCCTACATCGTAGATATTATGATTCTTCCTTGGCAATTACTCAGAAAGTACGGAAAATTACATTCTTCTTAGCTCTCGCTTATAACGACACTTTTTTTTTTTTTTGAATACTAATCGAAGCTTGCCTACGCCATCTAATTCCTTGATCTCTCTTAATGATGAATTGTTGATGGCTGGGTTATTATGTTCTACAAATACAAGCGACTCTGTCAGCGTTATCGTCGGGATATTATCCGTCACGGGGGTATTCCTCTCAAAGAATTTTTGTGACAGCCTGTCTCACTTTATTTCCCAAGTGTTTAATAAGGGCCCCTTTATTATGGATTCACAAGTCTGAGCTATTATTAGAAGCCGACTCCAAGCCACCTCTTATAATCTACCGTGTCAAAAAATGGTTCATTCATATCCCACTACCATTGTCTCAATCGTTGTCTATCACTTGGCAGGAGATATTGGCGTTGCTTCACAATTTCACCCCTTTAATGTCAAGTCCACTGCCTTGTCCTGTCTTCCAATATTCTCTTAATTTGTAAAATTTGTGTTTACTTAATATTATTTTCTCTTGATTAAAAAATAATAATAAAAACCTACAGGTTGCAATCAATTATGGTCACGACTCCATGGTATAGTTATAAATTTTAAAACTAGTTTTTGAGCATTTTTTTTTATTAAACATAAAAAAATCACGATTTCCACGTAGCAAGTAACCTGCATGACTTCCGGCCTCTGCAACCCGGGCGGTCTGTGCTTGAACCGGCTGGCTAATTCTGGGCGGTGAGGTGCATAACAATCATCTTCTCTCAGGCCAGTAAAACTCTTGCTTGCTTGGCGCCTCAAGCAACAAATTAAAACATAGCTTATTTTCGTGACCTCATGCTCTGAACTCATTTCTTTTACGCTATTCGAACCTCCTGGTCTCTGTTTGATTCCTATTCCTCCCGCTTTCGTTTTTTTGCATTTCACTCCTTGTTCTTGACCTCCGACTCTGTTGTTGCCATGGCCTGAAGCAATTGTCCTACGACTCTACAAAATTTTAGGCATTGGTCGACATGGGGGCCACCCTGTTCACCCAGGGACGAACGGCGCGACCATCTATCCGGGCCATGGGGACATTACTGAGAGCTTTTTTCTCTATTTGACTCCGCCGTGGATTTGCAATTTGGCATGCCTGAATCGAGCTTTCCGTGGTGCGACGTTCTTGGATAGTTCTCTTCTGGGTTAAGAGAGATGGCGTTTGAGTAATTGGAATCCTGTAATTTGTTGTATCTTGTGTTCGATCAAATTGATGGTATAGGATTTTAAGGAAGTATGGCTGAACAGGTCACGTGCAAGGTTTGCATGTCCATATCGGCGAAAGCAACGGCGATTCCTTGAACTGATGATCGTAGATACTGGAATTAGACTACCACCGAAGAATCTAGGTTAAAATCAGAAATGTTACAATAGTTTTAGATTGCTTAAGCTTAGAGGCTGGAATTGGGCATGCTTTAAGCTACCACAGTGGATACGGACACCCCTCATGGGCTCATACTTCCATTTCTTTTAGTTATACACACACCCTGCGTGCTTCAGCTGCGCGGATTTCAATCTCTGATGTTTTCAAACTCTTAAGAACTATAAAGTTGAGTTTAGTGTCAAGCTTCATTGAGGAATAGAAGAAAAACAGTGTGGCTTTTGGAAATTGTTCGACACATTTCATAGTTCTGTGGTTATAATTAATGAAAGCTCCATATATTTATACGAGGCCTAAAGCATGATGTGCGAGCAAAGGGAGGAGTGTTGTAGTTTGTGAGTGGTTGGTGGACTAGTTGACAAAGAATGAAATGGACTAATATCTGAAGGATGGACTCCTGGAAACTAGAAAAGCTTTGGAGAATCAAATAATACTGCTTGAATACTGATCAGATGCACTTATTTTGCTTTTGATTCTAGTGTTGATGATCACATACTGGAACTTAATGTTATATATAGTGGTAAGAATACATGTCTAAATGGCAATTATGCTAGATTATGAATAGTTTCTTAGCATCACAGAAAAGCAACGTGGCTTTATTTTGGCTGTCAATACCTAATCCTGAACACGAGTACCTAATATGTGCTTCTGTCAGTTTCCTATGCGACTAACTCACAAGATATAACATATATTTTAGAGAATACAATGAAAGACGGGAATGAAGCTTTTCTTGACATTCGGCGATCAGATTTTTGTCCCTTTCAAATTCTTTTATCTGGGGATCCACTGAGAAGCCTAGCGGCATTTGTCAAACTTAGAGCTAATCAGCTTTTATTTCAGAAAGAAGTTTCCTTATGGCCTCCCCTCAAACCTCTCTTTTATTTTATTTAAATTTTATATCTCAAGATCTACCTAATGATATCTGATATCATCGTTCTAAATTAACTAACTACATAATTATAATTATAATAATAATTGTAACAGTTTCAATAACTTTATACTCTTCCGGTCTTAAATATAAAACTCTTATACTAGCGCATATAAGGATCTTACATTTAGGATAGGAGTACTTGTTTTTGAGAAACAGGTATTGTTAACATTTAGTTTTGATTCTGATCAGACCAAATTATCCAGTTGATGAATGATGGTTCTTTACTTGAGATGTAGGGAAGTTCTCTTTTGCTCCAGACATTTTGGTTCAAATTTCTGACAAGCTCTTATTTGGGTATCCATACGCGGTCAAGTGGTTATCATTATCGGCACTTTAACTTTCTTGATGATGAATGGCCTACGTGTGGGATAAGTTTTTGAGGTGATGCTTGGTTCAGCTTCAAGGTTAATTAAGCATGTACCCCTGGACC